ACGGGTGTCATGCATGCGGGGATGGGAGAACGAATAACATTGGATTCCAAATTGATTGGCAGGGACACATCAATCTTTAAGATTAGCCCTGGCAGATTTGCAAATTTGCGTTTGCGATGCAGAGAAGCGGGAGAGCCCCGATCGTGAAGAATCATGTCGTGTCCCGTGAGATGCAGAATTTCTGGACTTCATCCCGATAATGCCAGCTAAAAGGCTCACGCAGCGCGTCTGGGCTGCCTGCATAACTGATCATCCAATGTACAATGACAGAATAATATGTTTAGCTACTATCGTAGAATGGAGGTGATCACATTTCAGCTGAGGTGGCACAACCGATCTGTGGCAAACGAATTGCGCGCTTATGATGAGGCCCAGTGATTTGGAATTTGATGGATCGTGAGATATCCTGTTGTCCAATTTACTTGCAACATACCAGTATGGTGGTGTTTTCAGCATTTCAGCATTACGTACGGAGTACAATAGGTCCATATTTGGATATCGAGGATTCTAGAAATGCAAATCAGAATCAACTCCGTAGACTAGTAAGGACCCACGTTGTGCATTATCTGCGTAATCTGTTTCTCGGTATAAGGCAGAGAGATTGGCAGGCTGGGGTTGCGGTTGCAATTTGGTCATGGACTGTGTCTTTGAAGCGTGTCAACACTTCCTTTTCAGCGCTGGAGGTTATACTCCCATCTGTGTACCTCTCACCAGCCCTACGATACTAAAGTTAGAGACAACCATGTCAATATGATATATTGTTGATGCTATTGTAGCACAGACATCCCTATGTATCTTGTTTCACCTCTACTGGATACTGGAGGTGTAAGCTGCATCCCGTCTACTGCCTACATACGTATGCCAATTGCACATCGGAGTCTCAGTCCAATGCGAGGAACTTGACCTATTCCACGACCACTATGCAACCTTCCGTGTTGCCTCTCCTCGATACTCCGTAGATGTGGGGATTTTTTTTCCCAAGGGAGAAGATCGTCTGCGTCTTCCCCATATGGAGCCTTTCCAATAGTCTGGTGAAGGTGATGCTCAGTTCTGATTGGATGTGAGCTAGTCTGCTACATACGTATTCGGATTCGGGCTTTCTCGAACGTCAGTGTCTTTGTAGTACTGTGAATAGTAATACGTGACCCTAATACTAGATACAGCATTCTTCTCGGTAGTCAGTGTGCGGGTGGATAGGGTGGAATAGAATCTCGAGTGTGGCGCTGTGGTGCGGGCTTAGGAATTGAGGCTCTAAGATACTCCATAGTAGTATTGGAATCCAGGCTATGACATAGGTGTGCCCTTTCCTACGTACTTATTATTAAGAGGCCGGATTTTAGCTTTCTCAATAGTGAATAATGTCGTGTTGCGGTTGCCCCTTGCGTTCGCCATTGAATATCTAATGAGTCTCGAAACTCTATTCCAGATATCTACATACTGCAATATGCATGGCGTGCAGTCACCACCTGCAAGATGTAGGTCCGTGTTATTTTGGAGGCTCGGTCTGTTTCTACGATGTAGTAGGACCTCTCTAGCGGAGCTCTATATGGGAGAAGCATTGGGACTCGACTGGCAATAGAATCGCCGCCTCGTACTTTTCCCCCATACCTCCTTTTCTACTAGCTAAAAAAGGCCCACAGAATTTCGTCTCCACTGCCATGATTCCCACTAAAACCAAGGCCCTGGGCTGCGACGCGTAGGCACATATAACTACGGAGAGTTAAATATCAAAAGCAATGCACCGCCCCGAACCCAACGGACTAGTGGAAAGGAGAGTGGAAACGGCAAACCGACAGGAAAAACAAAACCGGAAAAAAGATGGAATACTCCATATGTTTGTCGACATTGAATGCTGAGTGGAAGGCCGGTGAGATCCATGTAACCCTGATAGCCCCTTAACGGTGGCAAGAACTTGTGATTCAACTGTCAACCAGTGGGACGTCTTGGAATTTGCAACGGACCAATGAGGTATCATACTTGCATCATTGGAGGAATGGATGTTTCTACTCAGTTTAGGTCCGGATTGTTTTTCATTCCGACTTTTCTAACTCGGATCTCTTTCATGCACGTCAAATCCCTGGGCTCCCTTGATGAAGGAGAACCACGTCTCGACGTTAAGGAGGATTTGGCTTAATCAATGAATGCTTCATCAAAGAAAATTATTGCCTAACAAAGTCTTGGCTCCACGCGGATCGAGCACTATTGTACTGTAAGCAGCCCTAAAATGTGTATCTATCCATACTCCTTACACAGCCCACTGATAGACACCACGAACAGGTACCCCACCGTGATCCTTGTATCCTTAAGCCTGATTTTGTTAGCAGTTGAAGCGGGTGACTACACGGACGGGACACAAGTTAAACGGTCGAAAGAAGCAAAGTAAAAAAGAAAAAGAAAAAAAAAGCCAGTAATGCTAGGGCAACTCTGTGCTCTTGTGCGACTTCTAATCTGCGCGTTTGACTCGCTCATAAGACCTCCGACTGGGGAACACCGTTGAGTCTTCTGTGGCACAGAGTCCTTGAGCTGCATCCTGATCAAGCCAGGGGTAAACTGTGACTGCCTAAGTTGGGAAGGGAATGGGTGAACGTAATTTGGGATTCGTTTGACATCAGGGCTCCAGTATGATATCGGACAAAAAAAAGGACTTGGTTAAATGGGGTAATATGTCAATCCAATCCACTTTCTATAGACAAGAATAGCTTCTGGATGACACCCCTGGAGCCCGTGGATGGTTCCCGTCGTCAACCATGGACGGAGGGCGGGTAACCCCGAGCCCGGTTTACGACGTCACGTATTTCTGGTATTTACAATTCTATTTGGTCCACCTTCCATGTTCGATATTGTATATTATTGCAACATTGAATGTACATTCCAAATTCACCAGTTGGATGTCTTTCAAAGTGGATGCCTCCCAAAGTGTATCTGATTGACCGACAATCTAGTACCGGAGTACACGGGGAACAAGGTGCCCAAAGCCCTGGGTTGCGGATCAGCCCCAACAACCATCTCCCTGGGAGCGGGATGGATAAGGTATCCCTCCAAATGACGAGTGTGGTGCGGGGGGACTGAAAGCTTTCTTCGAATGTCGCCGATCTGGAGCTGTATATCCACTGATTTGAGGATCGAATTCGAACAGAGTTTGTGTTGAGCTGATTGGAAAAACAAGCGCCCCTTGCGAACTGTGTTTCCGAGTCTATGACCGAATTGATGGCCAGTGCGGCGTGTGTTATTGGGTGCTTGGGGCATGGAAGGATATTTCACTTCAGAGATGCAAGATACACCTTCATCATTGTTTCGGTTATACTTTCTGTGTTCTCCCCTTGAAAGGCAATTGTAGATTGCATGTGGACTGATCCAAATATCTTGTTCTAAGAGTACCCGAGTCCTGGGTACTGGGCAGCGATCCCTGTCCGACACACTGGTCGTGTTAGTATAATATGAAACGGGAAAATGGGGAAAAATAAATAAAAAATAGAAACACCCTCAAACACCTATTCTTACTCTATCCTTGAACTTTGACCTGGGGCCCTCACCCCAAGCCACCCAAGCGTACCTACCTAGGCAGGTAGCCCAAATCAGTATACGTAACTCCTGAATCAACTTGCATGGCGCATTTCCCGGCGAAGCGGTTGACCTTCGGGCGGCAAGTTTGATCCCCGTTCCACGCGGAGGATCCTAGCTTCGATCATATAGCACTTACATGGTATTAGTCTATGAACATCTAGCTATGGGGTATCTATATCCCTACCCTCAATTTATACAGACGCATTGCATATTGTGTCCATATCCTAGAATGACAATATTCATCTCATTTCTGCAGAGCATCTCATATTTCCCCCCAGCCGCCGGACCCACTGCCCTGTTTAAATTCAGTTAAAAAGAAACAAAAAGCAGACCTGTCAACTGTAAGTATTGGAGTTTTGTGCTTCTTTTCTCAGGGGTCTACAATAGTTCTTATAGATGTGATAACTGGGTTAGGAAAAAGCCATTAAAGCCATTTAGTATTTATTTTTTTGTTTTATTTTAGATTCGAGGTATTTGATAGTCACCGCGATTGTAAAGAGTATTTAATCCAGGGAGGGGCAAACACACGTCGATCCCTACAGGCGTAATTATAACAGTGAATTTATTAGTGTTATTACTTATGTTCCCCCCCTTCCCAGTTTAGATCTTTTTTTTTCCCTTTTGTCCTTTTATTTTCCTATCCATAGTTGTCTTTTCAATAACTGGGACATTATACCTACTCGAACTTGACCTTGACCTCTTGAAATTACCTATCTACAATAAAAGTGCGAGCCTTGCAACCCCACTCCAAGGTATTCATTCCAACAGGTACGTTTTCAATATATATTACCGTACCATACCTTACCGCGTACCCCATGCGTACTATACTTCGTACATCAAATGTTCCCATTGGAAACTTCCAAGGTTCCAAGGTTCCAAACTTGCACGGTGTTTTTCCCCTCCTTGGTGGCCCAACTTTGTACTTCTGTTTACGATCTATCTGATATACCGGATACACTGATCTATTTCGATTTTTGATATTTTCATATATCTCGGCCTAACACGGCCCCCCCCTGGTCGGATCATCGCCGTAATCTGACTATTTCTTTGTCTAGCTCCACACTCGGTTGCCCACTGCGACATCACCACCGCATTTTTGCGACCTGGAACAGCGGAGCTTTAGGGACTTTGATTCGCAGGCTTGTAACGGCGCGATCTGATTTCATTGTTTCAACTTTCGCTCCTTCCGACATCAGATCCACCGATCCGGCGTTCATTTGTTTCCTTTTATTACATTCTACTTCCTCGACTTCAACTGAGAGCACCATGTTGGGTTGAGTCCCGATTTTGACCAAGCCGGTTCGCTCCTCGAAGATAAAATTGGCCCAAGATATAGTGCCAAGGACCCGGGCTAGTTGCGACAAGACGACAAGACGACAAGACCTTCGCGTCTGGAAGCTTCAACCACCTCCGCACACCCGGACCATCCATTTACAATGAATCGCATGCCTCCCCCAGAAGGGCACCACGCGCACGCGGGTCCGCATACAGCATATGAGCCCTCATGGCGCCCTTCATACCCCCCGACTTTCGATAACCACCCATCCGACTCCCGCCGCTCCTCCGCAAACTCCCAGACACCCCTACCCCCGCAGCCGCCAGGATACCCCGTGATGCCCAACCGTGAGCTCCCACAGTTAACATCGGAAGGCCCGTATGGTCGCCCAAATGGTCATGGCCTGCCCCTGCATGCGCCCGTGCATTCCCCGCAAGACCCAATTCCCCCTCACCCGAACTTCCACCAGCCGATGAATGGCGCGCCGCACGAGGGCTCACCGGATTATCGCGCTCGTATGGGCTATCCACCCCCAGATCAGATCAACAGCGCTGAGCATACACCCGTTTCGGGCGCTCTGCCTCCTGCTTCACAGTTCATGACGCCCGTTGCTCAAATGGCGAGTGCGACGCCGCCCGCCGGGTACGATCAGGCATTTTACCAAAACCAAACGTTTGGAGCACGCCAGCGTAAGGCAAATAGAGCTACGCAGGTATGTTAAGCTAGTAGAAGGCAGAATCGCTTCGGGAGGAATTTCCGACTAACAATCGAGCTATATAGGCTTGTGATCAATGCCGAGCTAGGAAAGCAAAGTGTGACGAGGACGACCGAATTGCAGCCACTGTAAAGAGAACAATCTCGGCTGCGTCTACAAAGAGGTGCCGCCGCACAAACAAGAGAAGACTACTCAGCTGGTATTGGATCGGCTCTCCCAAATAGAGAGTCGCATGGAGGAGCGAGCCAACCGCATCGATGAGCATTTCGCAAAATGGCAAGAGCAAATGCAAGAGCAAATGCGCTTCAACATGGCTAAAGAGGTTAAGCATACACCTCCGACTGCCCAAGAACGTCCGTCCCTGCCACCACCACCAGTACCAGTCATCAAGCAGGACCCACCTCTCAAAACAGAGATGCCCAGGACCCAGGCCTCACCAAATGTTTTCGACCCTGGGAGCCAGGATGTAGGCGCTTCGAAGTTTGGCCAAAAGCTTCCACCCATGGACCCGAGGCTCGACCAGAAGGAGGCCGAGGGAGAGCTCTCCATCCCAGTAGAGCACACCACTGCAGCTCACAAGCTATTGATGTGGCCCTCGATTAAGAGGCTGCTACACCCGGCAAGATATGATGAGGACTATGTCATGCGGTTGGAAGAAGAGCGCGGTCTCATCAGCATATACGGCCAAGGCGAGATCTCGTACACTGCCGATGACAGTCAATTACCAATGGATGGTGACTCCAAAGGTGCCCGACCCGACGTGAATGGCGCAGGACTGGACGCCAATGTCGACATCGACGAATTTGGGAACTTGAATCTGGATGCTGCGACTGCTAGGCGCTACTATGAGAGCTATTTCCAGCACATGTTTAAGCTTCACCCATTCCTTATGGAGGGTGAACTTAAGATCAAGGTCGATAGCTTTATCCGAAGCTATTGTCGCCTGAATAACTCACCACCAAGTTCAGCTTCCAGTTACACTCGACCAGCTCGTGATGGTCCGCCGCCAGCCAAAAGGAGGCGGTCAAATGAAAACCTAGGTGTGCGTGGCGAGTATATGGAGACCATCCCCAACCCACTGCGGCCACGAGTGGGTAAAAACATTGACAATGCCTTGGTCCTGCTATGCCTAGCCCTCGGAGCCATTTGCGAAGCTCCTGCCCCTCTCCCTGGGCCTATCATGGACAAGAAGATTGACTACCTCAACCAACCCATTCCTGCTCCACTGCCACCATTACCTCCGCCGCCGCCTTCAAATACGACATATGTTACCAATGCTAATGGTGTGCTTTCCCCCGCAAACTCTGACTCGGCGGCCATGCAGATGTCGCTTTCGAATTCTCTGTATAGTGTGCCAACCCAGCCTGTCGGCCAAACCTTCCCAAATAGTCCATTCAACAAAGGCATAGACGGCCTGTCAAGGAGAGACGTCACAAACACGCGGGATGAACAAGGGAACACAAAGAACTACCAGGCCATTCCTGGCTTGACTCTCTATGGATACGCGACCGCAATATTGGGCCATCTGCAGGGTGGCAACGAGCTAGAACATGTTCAGTGCGGCTTGCTTGCAGGTCTTTATGCCGGCCAGTTGGCTCATCCTTTCCAGAGCCACAGTTGGATTTCTCAGGCCTCAAGAGCTTGCCAGGTCCTTGTGAGAACCAAGCGATATGAGCGACTCGAAGAGGGGGCTACGCAGGACTTGTACAACTTCGCGTACTGGACCTGTCTGCAATTGGAGAGTGATCTTCTCGCAGAGCTGGATATTCCAGCGAGTGGCATCTCCCGTTCCGAGGGTCGGATGGCTATTCCGAAAGGAAAATGGACAATAGTTCTACCGAACGATCTCACCGCACCCGAAACGATGATGATGCTGTTTTATTCTGCGCAAATTCATCTACGTAAAGTCTTGAATCGAGTTCACACAGACTTATACAAGGTTGAAAAGCAAGGCCAGACCCGATGGTCGTCCACCGTTCAAGAGGCTCTAAGTCTGAACCTCGATCTCTGGCGCAACAGCCTACCACACAGCATGCAGTGGAGCGAAAATGATCCACCGGCAGACGAAATCAACGCCGCTCGCATGCGTGCGAAGTATTATGGTGCCCGATACATTATCCACCGACCACTTCTCTACCACGCACTGCACTACGGCTACACAGGTGCCCGCGTCGGTCCAATCGGCAAGTCTTTAGTGGACTCGCCTACCTCGCAACAACTGTCCCCGTCTATGATGCACAGCGCCGCTCGGGCCCCGAGCATGGCGCGTATGTCGAGTGAGATGGGCTCTATGCCGGCCGCAGTCTCCACTGACTGGCAGCCCCCCTAAAGTCCGTTTACATGAACTGCCTAAGAAGCTGAAAACTGCCTGCGACATCTGCATTAAATCGGCTATCAAGAGCACAGAGGCTTTTGACGGCGTAGGCGGACATCGGTTGGTCGTTACCAACATCTTCGGCACTGCCCATGCGTAAGGAACCCTCTGACCCCCGTCTCAAGGAATCGGCGATATAGAGACAATACTAACATTCTCTTCGCAGGCAATTCGGCAATATGCTCGTCCTATCTGCAACTTATATGTCAAGTCTAAAGGAGCTTGTCGACCCAGACCAACTCGATCGCCTACTCGTTCGCACCATAGGCTTCCTCATCCAAAGCGAAAATATATCCCCCACCCTCCGCGCCGATGCTCGCATTCTCACTGAGATCTACAGGAAGATCTTCGGTCGTTCTCCTGATTTGAGGCAAGCTACCAAAGTGAGCAGCCAGACTCCCAGCCTGAACAGCCAAACTCCCAGCCTGAGTAGTCAGACTCCAAGCCTGAGCAGCCACACTACCAGCATGAGCTTCCCTTGAATGTGCATCTAACGTCAGAGTTATTTCTTTTTGTCCCGTTTCTAATGGCTTCGCAACCCAATATCTGATATCCTATATCCTCATGAACACTTCATGCATGTCCCTGTCCCTTTAAGCCCGGGCTCTTCCGCGCTCGACATCTGTTATCTGTCTTTCATCTATACCTTGTGCACTATACGGTTCTTTTCATTGATTCCCCAACCCTATCCGATTCAACACTCGGTACTCGTGCATCTGAGACAAAATTAGTTTACACGGGCTTTCCACGCGGTGATTGATTGGTGTGGCTTACTTGCATACGAGCAATCTTACATATTCTTCCATTGCCTCCTCAAGGTAATAACTGGGTTGGCTTTGACTCGTGACCTTTTTTTTGTCTTTCTTTTTACATCTCGTTTTTGGGTTGAAGGCATTTTGTGGTTCTGACGGTCTGTCCTCGCGGAAATACGTCTCCGGAATGGAGTTCTTGCGTCTCGTGTGGTTATTCTCCTACATTGCATGCATCTCAAGTCATACACGCCGCTGACTTTTCTTCTTGGATGCTCTTACAATATGCCGACTTATTTTTGTTGATTTGGCTGCACTATATCATTTTCATACTCAATGCAAAGGTTGCATCTCGTGGTTGGCCTTTGGTGTTTTGGATTCTACCATATTTGGGGTTTGTCTGCTGTAGAGTTTCTTTTCAGTAATTTATGATAGGGCAGGACACACCTCGATTGAGACGAAGTCTGATATTGCTTGATCATTTGCGGAATGGAAACTTTAGGGTTCATTGGAAGTACCCGTGGACCGGACCAAGATGGTGCTTTGTGGGCCTTCCGCTTCCACAGGTTCAGTTCCCGTGGTTTCATCAAGGTTGACCAATATCAAACTTTATTGAAAGTCCAATTAGAATATATTGGACACTCAGACATATGCATAAATATGAACCTATTATTACTGACAGCCACAGAAAGCAAATGCGTGCGGACCTCGGCTTCCCCGCATTGTGCTGATCAGGCGTTAATTTAGCGACACGAGTCAGTTTACTATGCAGCCCTGAGATGGTATATACATAAAGACAACTTCTGCTGTCTTTCAGGTCCAATATCAGCTCTTCGGTATCTGGCCAAATTTGATAGAACTATAGCCCAGACATGGCGCCAAACGCAAGAAAATGGCCCTCAAGAGAAGGTATCGACCCCTATCCCTATAACTAACGACCAGTCAATGGTAACAAACAACATTAGGCTTTACAGCTGATATACTGGGAAAATTCATCTCCCGGAGTCTCCTAGACCCTTGGAAGTTACTTCCCATTGTTGCTCTGGCCCAATACACAGCCCAAGGCCGTGATATTGCCAAAGCACGTCCAAACCTTGAAAAGGCCCTCAAAGCCCTAACAGCCCTAGCCCTCATCAACCGGCTAGGCAACTGGCTCGACCGTCGCACGCTCAACAACAGCACCAGTGACCCATATGACTGGAACCGCGAAGTTGTAATCCTAACAGGCGGCAGCAACGGGATCGGCCGACGCATCGCCGAGCTGCTCGGGGCGCGCGATATTAAAGTTGCCATCCTGGACATCGCCCCGCCAGCGACGGACGACGTGCTACCAAACAGCGTACGGTATTACGAATGCGACATAACCTCCGCAAACGACATCGCAGACGTAGCGTCCAAAATCCGCAGCTCATTCGGCCGACCTAGCATCCTAATCAACAACGCGGGCATCTGCACGGGCAAAACAATCCTTAAAACAACCCCCGCCCAGACACGCCGCATGTTCGAAGTCAACACGCTCGCGCACTACTGGCTTGCACAGGAATTTCTGCCCGATATGATCGAGGCAAACCACGGTATGGTTGTTACTGTTGCTTCGCTGGCTGGATACACCGTCACCCCTAATATGGTTGATTACTCGGCGTCCAAGGCTGCGGCTATTGCGTTCCATGAGGGACTTGCTGCTGAGCTGGTTACGCGTTACCGTGCGCCTAAGGTTCGCGCTGTGCTTGTTACACAGGGTTTTACTAGGACCAATCTTATCAAGGATTTGACCCCCAAGGATACTTGGTTTAATCCCCTGCTTCATCCTGAGACTGTTGCTGAGGAGCTGGTTAAGCAGGTGCTCAAGGCTGAGAGTGGGCATGTTGTTATTCCTGGATCTGCTGGATGGATTGCAAGGAGATTCAGAGGGCAACCTGAGTGGTTACAGCATTCGCTGAGGTGTAGGTTGGAGAAGTTGATGAGGGCTGATTAGTTGGACTTTGGATTGTTTTTTTAAATACTTCAGTGGTGTTGCGAGTGTATGTTTTTGCTATTATTTGGTGTATTGATGCACATATTGCGCTATTATTGTCGATAATAGGAAATTGAACATACTGTTTTTAGCGATAGTATAGCTAACATCTGACTGTTGTTCTCAGATAGGCATTATAGCATACTCTACGCCAAGAAGTATAGAGTACTCTGTACAGAGTAGATAGATCTAGACTCAGTTTCATTATTTTCTGGATGTATATCTGCAGTACCGAGTACTCCGTACTGTAGTGTATACACTACTGTAGTATAGATGGCTGGGATGTGACGAATTGGTCCCAGCCCCATGTTGGTCTGTGCACGATGCTTCACCGCGATTTTGATTCGCTCCACTCGTTGCACAGTTCATCAGCGCTGTGAATCACATTTTTCACTGTCGCATTTTCTTTTAGCAGATCGCCTGCATCTCATCTAAACCCCCCTAACAGACAGATTCTATCTGATACTCGACAAACCAAGACAAGGTGAGGTTAAGCGCCACAGGTTCAAGTTGAGATCCACTGGGGGCCTTTCCCGGGTACGAGATCCACGGGTCAGCTCCGTTGTTTACTCCCCCAAACAAACCCATAACATTGCATTCTCTCTGACAACTAACACTTCCCCTCCCCCATACCTTCCCCCCCATTCCAATCCTTACATTCCTTTTATTCCACATGGTGTACTCCGGCTATCCAAATTAATTGCCCACCATGTTCAAAGCCCTGATGGGCGGGGGCCGCTCGTCCTCATCCGATGTTCGCAGTTCCAAGAGCAGCCGGCGCAAGTCGGAAAAGCACGATAAGTCCGATACAAGATCGATCTCAAGCCGCAAGTCCTCACGGGGTGACGACCGTGACCGCGGCCTCGGTGATTTGTCGTCTTATCCGCCATCAACTTCCCGCAGTAAGCGTGGCCCGCCTAGCATTGCCGGCGAATCCATCGCATCAACCTATGTAACCGCCGAGCCAGAAGCGATTGATGAATCCGACCGCTACTACATTGAACGTACACCAAAACGCAGAGACAGTGAACGGGAAAGCAGGAGTTCCCGTCGGCACGACCAGGACCGATCCGAAAGTCCAGAGCGCGAGAAGAGAAGGAGCCGCCGAGGTACACAAGATACTCTGGATGATGACTTGGATCGGGAGAGCGACCGTCGCGAGCGTCGTCGCACCCACTCGGGGGATCCGTATGTGCCCCCCAATCTCCACAAATATGCCGCCTAGCGCCCCCGGCGCGCAGTTTGCCGCCGAGATTGGCGCCCCGGGATTCTCGCAATTCCCCATGCAATACGACACTGGGATGCCACCCGCAGGCCATTCGCCAGCGCATGAAGTTCCATATGACCCGCACGTGCAGCAACAATTCCCTGGCCAGTTCCCAGAGCAAGTTGCCGCACCGTACCCGCCGACCAACCCCGCCGGCGCTGCGGCAGACTACTACGGTGACCAAGGCCAGTCTGTTGAGCACCAGCCTGGTATTCGACCGACTCGTCCGAGTGTGCTTCCTAACACTCAGGCACACTTGATGGCAGCGTCTCCATCAGCTAACCCACCACCAGAGCCTAGTAGCCTTGGTGAAACTGGTGCGGCGGCGGCCTATTTCGACGATAATTTCCATGCTCCGGCACCGCAAGACCAGCCACCGGAAGTGTCTTTATCCAGACCCCCGAAGCCGTCTAAGCCTTCGAAGCCTTCTTCATCGGGCGTTCTTCCTGCTGCTGCTGTTGGAGCTGCCGCTTATGGAATTGGTGGTATGATGTCTCACTCGGAGTCGCATTCCCCTCCGCAGCACACTACTTCGTACACCCAGCAGGGACAGCCAACGGTGCACAACCAGCCAATGGTACATCACCAGCCGACGGAATACGATCAGCCGATGGCAAGCAGCAGCCACAAGCCTCCATCCAAGCCACCCCATTCTCATAGCTTCAGTGAAGGTGTCGGTATTGCGGCTGCAGGTGCTGCGACGGGGTACATGATGGGTCATCATCATCACTCCTCTAGCCCCGAACACGCACCACAATACGCTTTCCAGCACCACGGGCAATCTTCTCAAGTTGGTGGTATGGTACCGTATGCCCCTGTCCATAATAATGCTTTGTATGCTGCAGGTGCGGGAGGATACGCTGCTCATGCTGCCCACAACCCGGGTTTCTATCCTCATGGACCGAGTGCGCTAGCTTTCCAAGAGCGTCAGCGTGGTGCCATGGAAAGATTTGTTGATTTCTGGCGTGACCCTGAGGCCGTTGGAAGATTCGAGGACTACACGGAAACTATCGGTGTGTGCAAATACTGTTTCCAACCTGGCACGAGCTCCGTCGATGCCCCTCGAAAGCACCATTATCACAGGCGCCGCCGACACTCGCCAGATCGACGGAGCAGTGGTAGCTCCAGAGTCAACAAAACCAGCCGATACAACTCCTCTGAGGATGAGGGCCGCCGACGGTCAAAGTCCAAGAAATCTTCCTCGTGGCTGCCTGGCATGCTAGCTGGTTATGCGGCCAAGTCACTCTTCTCGAGTAAGGAGTTCGACGATTCTTACAGCCTTCGCTCCGGGCGAGTGGCCTCCTCCCATGGAGAAGAAGATGACCGAAGGAGCCGTACCTCTCGTGGCGTGACCCGTCGTTCTAGCCGCAGTCCTCACAGAGACTACCATGCAGGCTCCAAGCATGCCTCTCAACCTGGATATTCTCGGCACTCGCGCTCTCGATCGCGGTCTTCCTCTAGGTCTGGCCGGCATTCGTACCTTAAGGAAGCCGCACTCGGTGCCGCAGTGGGAGGGGCTGCACTGGCTGTTGCGAAGTCCCGTAACCGCTCCCGTAGTCGTTCTCCTGAAAGAGGACAACACCGAAAGGATTCGTCATCGTCATCGTCCTTTGTCAATCTTCCCAGGCCTGGCAAGAAGTCCATCGCTGGTGGTATCGGGTCTTTCTTCACTGCTTCTTCCGAGAACAAGAAGAAACGTCATACCAAGAAGCGGAGCGGTTTCTTCTCTTTCAAGAGTGGCTCTTCATCCTCTTCATTGGACAATGATCTTGCATTCGGAGATGGGTTTTCGAGGAAGCCCTCCAAGCTCAAAAAGAAGGGCAAGAAGGGTAAAGATGTCGACACCGCTTTGCTAGAGCTTAGCGACACGGCAACCCGTTTGGCTGGGTCCTCGCCCCACGGTCCCGGGCGCAGTGCAGGCCAGATGTACAAAGCTCAATCTCGACAGTCCAACTACTCTACGACAAATGACGAATGGGTTGATGCCGAGTCGGAGGACCAGTCTTCTTCAAGTGTTAGCTCTGCCCTGGCGTTCGGAGGAAGCAGCATTGACTCCTCCTCCGACTCCGCTAGCAGCAAATGGGGCTGGAGATGGGGAAGCAAGAAGGATAAGAAGAAGAAGGACAAGCGGTCGAGTGCTACAAATGCCGCTCTGGTAGCTGGCGCCGGTGCTATCGGAGCCGCTGCAATTTCTTCTGCTCGTGACCATGATAACAACCCCCCAAGCAGATCTGGGAGCCTGCAACATGTTTACCCAATGCCTACTTCCGACCCCTCTCGCTTTGATGTTGCGAAAATGTCCCCATCTGTATCTGCCGGTGAACCAACGCTCATCCGCCCGGGACCCATTCCCCTTCAGCAGCCTCAGCCTTTCACCCCAGTCTCCCAATCTGTGTATACTACCCAGGGAGCTGTTCCGGGATCGATACCAGTGTATAGCGCCCCAGCAGTCCCACCTCTCTTTGCCAATGGGGTTGAACACTTCGAATCGCAGTTCCAAGGCCCCCGTGGTGCGGCTTGGGCGCCAGAATCAACGTACGCCGAGCGCCGGAAAGCTCCTCGACGTAGTGATTCCTCCCCTGTTTTCCCCACTCAGGAAACTGCTTCCAGTCTCAAGCGCCGGTACACCTCCAAAGATCAAGCCTCCGTGCAATTCGACTTGACGGAAGAGCAAGCAGAAAGGGAACGCCACCTTACTCGTCGTGACAAGAACTACCGGGACGAATTGGATGACCAACCGGTTCAACTGATTGACCGAGAAGAAGAGGTGGCCCGCCACGAAACTGAGCGCCGAGAGCGCCGTCGAAAGGAGCGCGATGATGAGGAGCGCCGGTATGCTGGCGACAGAGGAAAGGACTCCTCATCCTGGGTTGGTGTAGCAGCAGCAGGAGCTGTTGGCGCTGCTGCTGCCAGCACTATTCTCTCTCGCAAGACAGACGATGACGAAGCCTCTGAAGCCAGCCAGCGATACAATGAGCGCCGAGAGAAACGCCGGGCGGAGCGAAAGCGCGATAACGATGCAGTGGCGGCTATTTCGGTCGTCTCGCGGTTCGAGCCCACTCAGCCTATTGATGAAGAAGTGTCAACGGCGGGACACCGCGAAGACCAGAAGAAAGGGTCTCCGCGATCTCCCCGTCCCCCACAAGTTTACGACGATTACGCAGAATTTTATGCCCCCGAGGAGCTACGACACAGCCCAGATGACCATGCTCGCAGCCGCGGCTCCACTGATATGCCAACCATTGTGGAGGTAGAGCCCGCCAGCGAACGACGTACACATGAGGAGCCTGCACCTACCGAGGTGGACTATTCCTATGAACCATATCAACACGTGGACCGCCTCCCGTGGCCAGTTCCCGCGCTCAACTTCATTGAGCCCACTCCTCCTCAGAGCGTGAACGGTGGTTCTGTTCGCGACGCTACCTCCCCAACTGCCCCTGTAAATAAATCTTATGATACCAAGCCCCGCGAACGACCAACAGGCTCCCGTGTCTCCTGGGGTGAGCATGAGACTCATGAATACGAGATCCCCTCTTCTTCTGAACAGGATCCCCTTGAGCATGACATTCCCCCTACCGAAATCTCAGCTAAGGATGTTCCTCTCCCGGCATCCGAGATATCACAATCCAAGGACATCCCCAGCACATCGCAGTATGGCGCCGACATTGAATTCGCGGCCACAATTGCTGCTGCGACCGCCGCAGCTGGGTTCGATCCCTCCCTGATCACAGACGACCCATCCTACCACACCCGCACTTCCCCTCCTGGGTCAGAGGACGAACACACATTTACCTCACCCTGGTCTGCATCGGCTCGGAAGGAGCCCCACGGCTTCGTCGAGGGCGAGCTCGAAGAAATTGACCCCAAGTCTACTAAGAATATTACTTCCGCTCCTGAGCACGTGCCCCAGGACAAAGATGAGCTTTTCTTCGACGAGCCGGAATCCTTCTCAAGAGATCGGGATATTTCTTCGGGCCGCCGTGACAAGTCCTCGATTGCCCAGGAGGTTATCGAGCAGCTTAATGGCAAATATGGCAAGCGCGACCGTACCGCTTCCCCGAGGAAGACGTGGACGTCTTCTCGATGCCTGGGGGCTTTGATACAGCCGAGCCTAGAGACTTGGCTGATGCTAGATCCGTGGCGTCAGCGCCGGCACCTGTTGCCATGGACCCAGAGACCCCGACCAAGTCCAAGTCAAAGAAGTCGAGGCGGAGTGGTGATGTCTTTGATCTCCCCGAGTTCCAGGAGCGGGAACTCGCTGAGTCTTCAGGCTTGAAGGATGAGCCATCGGGATCCCGCAAGTCCCGGCCCAGCGGCGAGGACTTCGAGATTTACGAGTCACGGGAGGCGTCTCCATCCCAGGATAACTCTTATTCTGTTGTCTCTGCTCCTGTCTCGAAGGACGAAACATCCAAGTCCAAGTCCAGGAAATCCAGAAGGAGTGGTGATGACCTGGACATTGCTGAATACCCGGAGTCAGCGCTTACCGAGTCTCGTGACGATTCTTTCTCTGTTATCTCTGCTCCTGTTTCGAAGGACGAGACATCCAAGTCCAAGTCCCGCAAATCTCGACGGAGTGGCGATGACTTCGAGATCTACGAGTCACGCGAACCATCTGAATCTCGGGATGACACCCGCTCGGTTACCTCTACTCCTGCCGGCAAAGAGTACGAGTCATCGAAGTCCGGGAAATCGAGACGCAGTGGAGATGACTTCGACCCGCGTCTTGATGCTGAAGCCGCCCCTGACAACGTGGAAGGTGGCGAGGAGAAGAAGCGACGTCGCAAGCGTCGATCCAAACATGAAAGTGATACTTTCTCTGTTGATGACGATGCTCGCTCCGCCATTACGGACCTTGGAGACGACAAGTCTGAGCGTCGCAAGCATCGCCACCGCTCTTCCCGGGAAACTGACTTTGATGACAATGCCTCTATAACCTCTTCTCCAGCTCGGATTGACGAATCCCGGGAGAAGCGCCGAGGCAAGGACGAGAAAGAAAAGAGCGGAGGCTTTTTGCGAGGTATCTTTGGCTCACAAGTGTCGGCCCCAGCTGAGCGTGTTCGGTCTGACCATTCTCGTTCTTCCTCGTTGGATAAGCGCTCATCCCGCGAAGCCATATCTGAAGTTGGTGTGGATGATGAACGCCGTCGTCATAAGAAGCGTTCTTCGAAGCACCGCAGCTCCAGCAATGGCGATGAATTGGACCGCTACATGTCGGACAAGGAGAAAGGCACTCAAGATGACACAAATCTGGAGGAGTACAGGTCCAGTAGACAGCAAAAGGAAGAGCGTCGTCGTCATCGGTACGAGGAAATCGTGGATTCAGGAAGAAAACGGGAATCCGAGAAGGTATAGCATCTGAACTTTTCTTTTTACTTATGTTGTGATTTTGATTGTACACTTTATTGTCCCATATAGTTTCCCTTTCGCTGGTTGATTTGACCAGCTTGCACAAAAACCACAAAACCTGAACAAAAAAAGAAATGTACTAAGCTTTTATTGGTTTTATTCCATCTGCAGGACGGATATAGTGACAACTTCGACGATCAATCTTTATTAAGGAAGCGCCCTGAAATTCTAGCGGCAGATGAGCGCGAAGACTATGGAGCTTCTTCATGGCTTCCAGCATCCGCGGTTAGCGCAGCTGTTGTTGCAGCAGCATCGGGACTGAATGAGATTCCACAGCAGAGGCCTCGGAGCCAATCCACCTCTCCCCCAGCCACAGAGAAGACACTCGACCTGACCCCGAAGTCTCTGAGCCGCCCCGCTTCACCTGAAACAAGCCACCCGCAGGGGTCCCGATCTCCCAAGCAACGCCGACACTCCGTGGCCAAGTCCACCACTGAATCACCCACAGCTGTGCCTCTCCACTTCCGCCGGCCCCCAACTTCCCCGGGCCTTTCGCGCGCAGTCCCGGTTGAACAACCCGCCCCTATCGCCTCCCCAGGCTCGCCAAGCCAGCAACGCAACCGCCGGCCCGGGTCAGTCGAGTTCCGAAACTCGCGTGAGATCCGCCCTCTATGGCTCGTCGAGCGCCACAGTTTGACCAAGGGCGAACCCGAGACCGAGGAGCCCCTGCCATCGCTCCCATCCAGCAAGACGTCCTCTCGGGTCCCGTCAATGGAGGATCTGAAATCCCTCCGTGACGACGACGGTCTCAAGAGCTGGGAGCATGTAGATCTGAGTCACTCAATCACCGGAAACCAGCGGCCAACCGGTCTGACCATTTCAGCTGAGCAAGCGAACGAAAGCCATAGTAGAGACGTTGATCTCCTCGGCTCGCAGCAGGCCACGCCTACCGCTGAACACTTCCAGGATGCCGAGTCCAGGAAGGAGAGGCCAAGATACGAATTCCACTCTCCCTCTGAGCTTCTGCGGGACCCCACTGCTCTGGACGAGCTGCCTCCTTCACCTACGCTGGACCCCCTGCCTTCTGCGGAGGGCTCTCTTGTTGGCGTCGGCTCTAGGGGAGCAAGAAACCCAGCGTGCGCTTGACGCTCTCGAGGGCGTCTCCCGCCGTCAGCCTGAGTCGGAAACCCCAACCCAAGACTACAATTCGTTGTCCAGCGCCGCTGCGGAATTTGCCAAGGGCGCTGGCTTCGCCGGTGTTGTCGATGCCGCTGCCATTGCGGCTGCCAGGGAGCATGATCAGTCTCGCTCCTTGCCTGCAGATGAACTCTCCAAGCCCCGTAGCTTCGGCGATATTGTCGATGCAGCGGTTGCCGCTGACGGTTCCTCCCAGGACCATGACAAGGCACCTGTCCATGAGGAGGCGCTCAGTGAGCCCGTTACTGCCATTGAGGAGACTGCTCCTGCTCCGCTTGAGCCTGTCCACCCAGAGATGGAGACAGCCAAGGAATTTGTGCCTGAATCTACTGAACAGCCTGTTCAGTCTCCAGATCTTCAAGCTCAGCCCGAGACAAAAGTCGCTCCCGATGAGAGCGCTACCCAGTCTTCTAAAAAGAAGAACAAAAAGAAGAAGGGCAAGAAGAACCAGGCTCAAGGTGCAGATCTGGGAGGCCCCGAGGAACTACTCGCGCAGGAAGAACTGTCCAAGGAGCCGGTGCAGGAGCCTGCTGTGGATGCGCCTACGGTCGAAACTGTTTCTGCTGAGCCCGAGGTTTCTGTTCCCGAGCAATCCGAGTCGGTTGAGGCATCCCGTGAGCTTGGACCTGGGATTGGGGCTGATGAGTCTGTGGTCGAAGCTGCCCCTGTTGAGTCAGCGCCTGTCGAGAGCGCTCCGGTTGAGCCTGAGGTTGCTAATCCCGAGCAACTTGAGGCTGAGCCTATCGAGGCTTCCCGTGAGGTTGAGATTGAGCCTTCGGTTGAAGCTGCTCAAGAACCAGAAGTTGTTACAGCCCCTGAGGGCGACTTTACTCAGGTGCCGCCTGCTGAAACTGAACTGGCCGAGGACGCTGCATCTTCGACTAAAAAGGCTAAGCGCGACAAGAAGAAGCAGAAGAAGAGATCTAAGAACGCATCGACTTCCGAAGAGCCTACAGATGATACTGTGATTGCCGAGCTTCAGGATGATACTTCTGCCTCCAAGGAGATTGAAGGCCAACAAGAAGACAGCGCACCTGCGCCTTCCGAAGAGATTGTGGCTGCGCCCTTGCCGGAGGAAATGGTTACTTCTACTGAATCTCCCGAGAGCACCGCTGACCAGATTGCCACCTCATCTGCTGCCATTGATGCAGAGCAAGCTCGAAGCCAGCCTGAATCCGAGGAACTGGTTGAGCCTGTGGAACAAGTATCCACTGAAGAACCCATTCTACCTGTGTCCGAAGGTCCCAGCGTGCCCATTGAGCAGACCCCGGAACCTGCTTTCACTGATGCCAATGAAACACTAATTACTAGTGCCACTCAACCGGAAGTGGAGGAAGTATCCCGCAGCCTGGAAGAGATTGAGAAGCCAAGTGAAGAGTCTATGCCAGAGGCCCCTCTCGATACCACCACGCCTGAAATTACTGAAACACCCAAAGAAGACACCGAAGGTGAAGACAACTTCGAAGAGGCTGTCGAGGAACAGATTCCACAGCCTGCCGAAGAAAAGGAGCCTGCACCAGAGCCTCCCGTCGAGGGACCTCCCGTCGAAGTGGCTACAGATGCCCCCACGGAAACTTCGGAAACCAAGGCGGAGAAGCGGAAAAACAAGAAAAAGAAGAATCGCAAATCCGCTGCCGCTGAAGAAACTGATATTTCCGCTGGAACGCCCGCTACCGAGACTGAATTGCATCAAGAAAGCAAAGAGCCCGAACCTGAGCAATCAGCGGTTGTCGAACCTGCAGATACCCAATCCCCTCCAATTGGCGGTGAAGCCTTACCTTCTGATCCTGAACATCTTGAGCAGCCTACCAAGGATGTTGATCAGCCCATCGAAACCACCATTGAGGAGTCTGCAGATACCCAGGAGCAGGAGCAAGCTCCATTGGAGGCCGCTGTGGATGCAACACCTGCTGTGACCGAGCCAGTGGACCCCGCGGGGTCATCTGATGAACTGTCGCAGCCAGCTGTAATTGAGGTCCAGCCTGATGCTGAACTCCCTGCTGAGGAGGCTTCTCGCGAAATCTCAGAGCCTTCTGCAGTTGAGACTCAACCTGGAGCTGAAGTTCAAGCCGAACCTCAACCTGAAGTTGCAGCCGAGCCTGAAGTGGCCTTGACTGCGGCCCAGAAGAAGAAGGCTAAGAAGAATAAGAAGAAGGGCAAGCAGAGTGAATCTTCTATTCCTGACGACGAGAAGCCTGCTGAGCCTACCTCGCCGGCACCTGAAGTTGAGACTGCCGCTGAGGAGATGCCCAAGGGAACCCTTCTTGCCACCGAAGACACACCGGTGGATGCGCCTCCTCAAGAAAGCGAGATGGAGCTGCCCGTCAACGTTGAACAATCGATTGAGCCCGGGCGACTCCCTGAGACCAAGCAAATTTCTGAGGGTTTGCCGGCCCAGGATGAAGCTTCTCCTGACCCTCTTCCGGAACCAATGGCAGAGGTAACAGAGACAGAGACACCCAAAGAAGAGTCCAACGCACCAGGGGAGGAGCCCAAAGCCGAAGCGTCTCCCGCTGAGCCAGAGGTCCCTATGACCGCCGCGGAGAGAAAGAAGGCCAAGAAGGCGAAAAAGAAGCAGCAAAAGGAGCAGGAAGAGAGCATTGGCTCTATTGCTGAAGATACCACGCCCGTCGAGACCGTGCCTGCGCCCGATGCTGAATTCACTGAGCCAAGCAAGGATATTGCGCCCGCCGTGGAAATTGATAATGTTGCTCCAGCGGACTCCTCTGCGCCTGTGTCTTCCGAGCCTGCTGAGACTGAACAGGATGTTACGCCAACATCTACAACCGAGCCGGAGGCAGCTCCAGTCACTGAAGATACTCCTCTGCCAACCGATCCTGAGTCTATCGAGCCAACGAAAGGCATCGAGGCTCCTGCTGAGGCTGAGCCACCGGTAGAAGACGCTGCCCCATCGTCAGAGGTTGAGGCAACCGAAGTTACTGCCGATGTTCCACTTGCATCGGAAGAAGCGGCCGCTCCTGTCGATGTGCCCCAAGGCCTTGACCAACAGAACGATGTCGTCAACGCAGAGGAGCCGAAGAGCGAGGATCTGACCCCAGCGCCCATGCAAGAGGCCTCGGCTGATGCTGCAGAGACCGATGCCCCCAAAGCACAAGAACAATTTCCCGTACCCGAGGTTCCAATGACTGCTGCCGAGAGGAAGAAGGCCAAGAAAAACAAGAAGAAGCAGCAGAAACAAGAGGCTGTGCAGCTTGACGAGCAGCCCACGCGTGAGGCTGAGCCTACTTCTACTGAGGAAAAGAATGTCGAACAATCCGGTGACATGTTGCCTGGGAGTGAGCCCACAACTACTGTAGAAACTGCCGCAGGTGTTGATGAGCCCACGGAACCTGAGGCAGCCCGCGACCTCGAAACCGAGACCAAGCCTGAAGAGGAACAAGCTCAGGATGTGCCAAAACTCGACTCCGAAGTTGTTCCCGAGGCTCCCTCAGACGAGGCTATTTCTACCCCCAAGACTGCTGAACAAGCTACTGATGTTCAAGATGGGAACAAAGAAACCGCCCCAGAGCCTACAGTCGAAGTTCCTGCTTCCACGGAACACCCCCAGGAAGCACAGAAGCTTGATTCAGCCATCAGCGAGGAGCCTGCTTTAGAGAAGTCACTCGATGACAAGCCCACAGAGTCTGCATCAGAGCCAGTTGCGGAGGAGACTCAGCCCACGGAGTCAACAGCAAGTCCAGTCGTGGAGCAGGCTGAAGATGAACAGGCGGCAACTTCTTCTAAGTCGAAGAAGAAGAATAAGAAGAAGAAGCGCCAATCAGTTGCCGCTGAAGAAGAGCAGCCTGCACCCGCCGAGGGAGAGGTCAAGCCTGCACCTACCGAAGAGGAGCCTACACCTGTGCCTGCTGAAAACGAACCCACTGATCCAGCACCATCTCAAGAGCTTGAACAGCCTTCTTCCGGCAAAGATGCGGATACTCCTATGGTGACGGAAGAGGCACCTAAGGCCAAAGAGCACGTCACGGACGAGACCACACAGCCAGAGGCCCCTGCCGATACAGCCGATACAGCCGCCATTGAGGCTGCTGCAGAGGCAGCAATGACTCCTGCTCAGAAGCGGAAGGCCAAGAAAGACAAGAAAAAGCGCCAATCAGTTGCCGTTGAAGAGGAGCAGCCTACGGCCGCTGGGGAGGAATCTAAGGCTGCCCCTGTTGAGGAAGAGGTTAAGCCTGCACCCGCGGTAGAGGAGCCTGCACCTGTGCCTGCTGAGGGTGAAGCCGTCGAACCCGCCCCATCTCAAGAACTTGAACAACCCTCTCCCGACAAAGACGCGGAGACCCCCACTGTGACCGAAGAGGCGCCTAAGGTCGAAGAGACCACGCAGCCAGAGGCCCCTGCCGATGCGGCTGCCACCGAAGCCGCTGAAGACGCAGCAATGACTCCTGCTCAGAAGAAGAAGGCCAAGAAAGATAAGAAAAAGCGCCAAACAGTTGTTACCGAAGAGGAGCAGTCTGTACCTGCTGAGGAGTCCAAGCCTGAACTAGCTGACGAAAAGGTCATGCCTACACCAGCCGAAGAGGATCGCACGCCTGGGTCCGGTCAGGAAGAGCTTGTTGAGCCTACGCCGACTCAGGAAATTGAACAGTCCGCCGTCGAAAAAGACGTGGAGACTCCTATTATGACAGAAGAGGCGCCTAAGGCCGAAGAGACCATGCAGCCAGAGGCCCCTGCCGATGCAGCTGCATCTGCCACCGAAGTCGTTGAAGAGGCAGCAATGACTCCTGCTCAGAAGAAGAAGGCCAAGAAAGACAAGAAAAAGCGCCAATCAGTAATTGCTGAAGAGGAACAGCCTGCCTCTGTTGATGAGCCCAAGCCTGAATCCGCCCAGGAAGAGCCCGCTAAGGCTGAGTCGACCCAGGACACCGAACATTCAACTGTCGACAAAGATGCGCAGGCTCCTGTTATGATAGAAGAAGCGCCTAAGGCGGAAGAACCGTCTCCAGAAGAGGCCAGGCAGCCAGAGGGCCCTGCCGATGCAGCTGCTACCGAGGCCGCTGTCGAGACTCCTGCGGAGGAGGCAATGACTCCTGCCCAGAAAAAGAAGGCCAAGAAAGACAAGAAAAAGCGCCAATCAGTGATCGCTGAAGAGGAACAGCCTACGCCTGTTGAGGAGCCAACGCCCGAATCCGTTCAGGAGAAACCCACTGAGCCTGAGTCGACGCAGGAAATCGAACAATCCACTGTTGACAAGGATGCGCAAGCTGCTATTATAACAGAAGAAGAAGAAGCGCCCAAGGCTGAAGATCCTTCTCTCGAAGATGTCACGCAACAGGATGCCCCTGCTGATGCAGCTGCTACCGAGCCCGCTGCGGAGGAAACAATGACACCAGCCCAGAAAAAGAAGGCTAAGAAAGACAAGAAAAAGCAACGAAAGTCTGTTGCCTTCGATGAGGATGCCACTCCGATTGAAGAGCCCAAGCCAGAGAAGGATTCATCTACATCTGAAGAGAACGTTGAATCTCGGGATGCTCCCGCTGACTTGGTTGTCTCGGAAGAACCAGCCAAGGAGTTGCCAGTGACCGAAGAAACCGCCGAGCCTGCTGCTGAAGGGGAAGTTTCGGAGAAGATAGAAGAGCCCGCTTCCTCTAAAGAAAGCAAGGACGTCACCGAGTATGAATCAGCCTTAACTGCTACGCCTGATATCCCCGTTCCTAGTGAAGTCAGGGAGCCAGAGCCCGCAACAGAGTTGCCAGAGCAGCCGGAGCAAGGTGCTCAGACACCACCGGAGCCCCTGACCCCGAGTGCACAGGAGCCCGAAGTTGCCTTGACTGCGGCGCAGAAGAAGAAGGCGAAGAAAAACAAGAAGAAGGGCAAGTCTGTGGACTTAGCCGACAACGCCCCTTCTGCCACAGAAGCAGTGCAGGAATCTGAGCCTAAACCTGAACCTGTTGTTCAAGCTTCCACCGATACTCCAGCTGAGACCCCGGAGCTGCAAGGTACTCCAGCCTCTGAGCTAGCGCAGCCCGCAGAAGGTCTTGAGCAAGACAATACCATCGAGTCCGAGGCTCCCAAGGCCGAGGAACTCGAGACAACGGAAGCCGTATCCGACGATGTACCGAAAGAGGAAACCCCTGAAGCCAAGAAGACCGACAACGGACCCCCGGCGGCTGAAACGATTCACGATGCTGAGCCAGCTCCCTCCCAGGAAGCAGAGGCGATTGCTTCTGCCGAGCCGACCGAAGAAGCTGGCATGTCAGCCAAGGAGCGACGCAAGGCTGCCAAGAAAGCAAAGAAACGCCAGTCTAAGAATGTCGACGCCGATACCGACGCCGCAACATCCGATTCGCCTTCTGCGCCAGCAACGGACCCTGCCGCACCCATTGAAGCGGCCAACAGCGTTGAAAAGGTCCTGACCTCTACGGACACAGACGCCCCTGGACTTTCAGCCGTACCGGCGTCCTCGCCTGCGGAACATGACGGTAAAGAACATCAGTCCCACGGCATAGAAACTTACGACGCCACGGCGCAAGATACGACCTCGACTGATAAAGACATGTCTTCGCAGGTAGAGCAGACGCCGATAGAGAGTCCTTTTTTAGATTATCCTCCCCAGCCCGTGCTTGAGCGTTCAGTTGATTCCGGCGAGCTGGCGGAGGTAAATGCTCAGCAGGAGGGTGATGTTGCCCTTACTGCACCGGAGCGAGAGGGGGAGATGGTTGAGCCTGCCCCCCTGGAGGAGATGAAGCTGGTTGGTGATAGTGAGAATGTTGAGGAGGAATCGACTGTGCCGGAAGCAGGCGATCTCTCCACGGAGAAGGAGATTGAAGAGATGCCTGTGGATGTGCCAATTGATGTTGTTCCTGAGGCACAGATACAGGAATCCCCTGTGGAAGAAGCTTCTGAGGCAGCTGTCTCGAAGAAGCAGAAGAAGAAAAACAAAAACAAAAACAAGGATAAAAAGCAAGAGGAGGAAGCCGCAGCATCTGAGCCTGCGAGCTCTACTGCAGAGGACAAGGAGCAGCCGGAAGCTGGGCCTTCGGTTGAGGCCGAGCTCCAGCCGGAGGTAAAGGAAATCATTGAGCCTGAGCCCATTGCCGTGGCCGAACCAGTGCCAATTCCAGAGGAGCAACAACCAGATCAACTGCAGGACATTGAAGAGACTGCTGCTGTCCAGACAACCGAGGACGTTGGTGATACCAAGGAGATCAATGTCCCAGAAGCCGAGGCCGCTGCTCCTCCTACCGAAGACACCACGCAGCCAGAGGCCCCTGTCGATGTAGCTGACATCGAGGCCACTGAAGATGCATCAATGACCCCTTCCCAGAAGCGGAAGGCCAAGAAGGACAAGAAGAAGCAACGACAATCAATTATTGCTCAAGAACCCGAAGTTGAGCCCCAGCCTGAGGAACAGACACCACCCGAAGCGGCTGAAACTTCTGCCCAAGAGGCTGGGATTACAACAGAGCCAGCGCCTGGCGAAATTGCCACGCAAGATGAGGCTGTTCCTAGCGCAGAGGAGCCCACAGCGCAGCCTATTGATGCCACCCAGGAGGCCGCCAAGGACCTTGTAACGCCCTCTGAATACACTGAACAGCATGTTCTAAGCCAAGAAAATGAAAACGGAGAGCGTTCTCTCGAGCTTCCTTCCACTAAATCCAAAGTCGAGAAAGGAGACAAACCAACCGAGCAAGCTGCCGCAGTCCCGGCGGAGATTCCAGATGATGAGCGACCTAGCGAACAAGGGCAGCCTGAAGCCGGCCCCGAGCCTGAAGGGGAATCGACGACTGTCCCCAAGAAGATGAGCAAGAAAGAGAAGAAGAAGGCTGCTGCTGCTGCTGCTGCTGCTGCTGCTGCTGCCGCTGCCGCCCTTGTCGAGGAAGAAAATCTCGCTGAGTCACAGCCTGAACCCAAGGAGGCCTCGGTCATCACTCCGCAAGCTCCAGAGGAAGCGGTAGAGCAGCCTATGGTTCAAGAGCCGCAATTCTCAGAGACTGAAGACAAGCCTCAGCCTGAAGCCGAAAAGAACCCGGATGAAATTACAGAATTGCCGGCTTCTGGGTTGAAAGAAGATGTTCTGGAGCAGTCTGTTGAGGCTCTCGATTCTACTGAGCCTCTCAAATCTGAGGTCAAACCGGAGGAGTCTACAAAAGAGCTAGCCGAGGAGCCAGCTGCCGCCGAAACTATTACTCGGAAAATGTCAAAGAAGGACAAGAAAAGGGCCAAAAAGCATGCCCAACAAGAAATAATTGAGCCGACTTCCCCTCCCACCGATGATCATGCTCGTATCACCGAGCCTGCAACTGCAGAGGCTGTTCTTGAACCGGAGATAACTGTTGTGGTCCCAGCTGAACTTGTTCCTACCACCGAGCCCGCAACTACGGAGACTGCTATCGAACCAGAAGCGACTCTCAAAGAGACCCCAGCTGAGGCTGTTCCTGGGGCTGATTCGAATCCGTCGGAAGAAACCCAAGATGCTCCCAAGGCCGAGGCTGAAAGCATCGAACCACCCGCTATTGAGTGTTTTAGCATCGTATCGGACGACAAGCAACCCCCAGAAAGCGAGAAAAATGAAGCAGTCATTTCTCTTGATACACTCGATACACCCTCGTCCGTGGAACCCACTGACCAGGATACCAACAATGAGCCCCTTGACCTCGAGCGTCCCGCAGAGAAGAACGATATGAAAGATAAAGCTCATGTTGTGACCGATTCGCAGGATCTTGAGAACGCAGCTGATCGCGAGGTCGTCGAGGGCCTCGTGGATCAACCAGGACAACCTGAAGTGATGCCGGCCCTGTCCAAGAAGATGTCGAAGAAGGACAAGCGCAAGGCCAAGAAGAATGCCGGCATCACCGAAGAAGTCTCGGCTCAACAACAAGAGTCTCAGGCTGATGTGGCTGGGTTGCCCACGGAATCTGAGGTCCAGCCGACAGAGCCTGCTGTGGAGAAAGAGATTCACAAGGAACCTGAACATACTGCAGAAGCTCAACCTGCATTCGAGCGAGAGTTGCCGATTGAGACTCCCGCTTCGATTGAGAATGAGCCTATACCAGACCCAGGAGTTCAGGCTGAGCCAACGCAACCCGATGGAGAGCCCGTCGCCAGCGAGGAGGTTCCTCTCTCACGCAAGGCCTCGAAGAAGAAGGCCAAGAAAGCCCAAAAGGCCAACAAATCCCTGGATGCTGAGGCACTGGCTGAAAACACGATCGCGGATCAGCATGCTACCATTGTGCCGTTTGAAGATGACCAATCGAAGGCAGAGGGCCTGGAAGTGCCAGACGAAAATTCGGCCCAAGACGAAGAAGACTGGCCCGCAATTGACTGGCAGGCCAGGTTTGAGGAGTCCCAGCGATCAAGGGAAGCGGACCCTGAACCTGAGCCGGACATTCCACCTCCCGAGCCGGAGATTATTGGAGAATTCGTTGATTCTTCATTCCCCGAAGTTTCGCAAGATGCAAACGAAGCTACAGAGGAAGATGCCTGGGCTTTGCCAACGAGCAAAAAAGACAAGAAGAAGGCCAAGAAGAACAAGAAGCAGTCACAGCAAACTCCCCCGGAAGCCGAGGGACCTTCACTGGAACCCTTCAACGACAAAGAGATCGAGCCACCTGCCCGGACAACTACTCCCGGTGGATCTAAGATTGCCAACTTATTTCCCGGCCTCGAGCGTGGGGGGTTTCGGCGATCAGCTTTGGACCAGCAACCACGGTCGCTAAAAGATAGTGCTGAGGAAGAGACAACAGCGGACTTGGAAGCGAATCGCGATGTCGCGATCCCTGTCTTGGAAGCACCCCCAGCGACCACTGGAACCAAAGAAATTCCCGATGATTTTACCTCGGAGCAGCCTAGCAGCCTCGAAAGACAAATTGAATCTACAATCTCGGAGCTGAAAGGTCACTCCGAAACTCCTACTGCTACGGAGCATGGATCAACCAGGGAGCCAGAACTTCCGGCGGAAGGCGAAAAGTCCAAGGATATGCCATCGTCATTGTCAATGGAACCCTCTGATGAGCGGACTCGTCCCACTGAACCTTCTTCTCCTACGCGCCTTCCACCCCAGGAAGAAGCTGGAAAGGAACTGTGTGAATTACGCCGATCACCATCAATCCATGGACGGCACCAGCACACACCCAGAACCTGGAGCTTGGAAGAACCCTCTCTACCAGCTCTTCGTGCCCCGTCCCCTCCTCGGTCGCTCTTCGGAGGACCGACCGACGATTATGTGCGACCCCGGACTCCGCTTGATACAATCGCGGAACAAGAACCACGGGATGGCCAGGGAGCAACCATGGCTCGTCGCGGGACGCCCCGTCTGGAGATGAAGCCCGAGCATGTCTTACCTCGACCTCAGACACCTGTCCGGAAATTTACAGACAATGCCTTTGATCGAGAAGCTTGGCCGAAGGAGAACAAAAAAGGCGAGGGGTTCAAACCCGAAATTCTAAAAACGCCTGAGCAAGGGATGCCAATTCTGAAGCCCAGCACCAGCAGCGGAAAATTACGTCGTACAAATCGCAGTATTAGCGGCGATCTGCGGGCGGCTAGTCGAGCGCTAGATTCCCAGCCTTCGAATCTCGATCTCGATCAGCTCCCGTCTTCCTCCTCTTACGACCCCGTCACCGACAAGGGCAAACGTCCGTTGCGAAATATGTCGGATGTCTATGTAAGTTATTAATTTATTCCTTTTCATTTGCCATTGTTCGTCATTGTGGTTTTGTTTTTGTTTACTAACTTCCACAGGAGGGATGGGGTGAGACGCCCAGTTCCCCACGGTCGCCCAGCCGACCGCCTAGTGTCCGCCGCCGTCGCAGCATGCAACACTTGCAAGACATCGAAACCCGTCTCGACCAGCTCATCTCTGAAAACCGCCTACTGATCGCCGCCCGCGATGAAGCCGAAGATAAGCTACGGAATACCACTGTCGCTCGTCGAAAGAGCGACCGTGCGCTCAACACCCGCGACGGAGATCTGCGCGATCGGGAATCAGAGGTGGAACAATTGAAGAACTCGGTGGAATGGCTGCAGAAGGAGATCTCTCGCCTGACCCAAGAGAACGAGGGGCTGACCGCATCCAACTCTGCTCTCGCCGCCGCCCACGCAGCCGAAGTCAACTCCGTACGCGAGTCGTCCACACGTGAACTTGCCGACTTGCAGTTGCAACACAATCAACTCTCGACCCAGATAGAGGATCGCGTTCGACAAGAGATTGAGTCAGCTCTTGCGCAAAAAGATATTGAATTGCGCCGTCTGCGCACCGAGCTTGAGGAGGCCCGTGATAAAGTGAAGGAGCTCCAACAACAAATCGCGGCCTCGGTACATGACAATGCCCTTGTCTTCCGCGATGAAGAGTACTTCGATGCTGCCTGCCAGAAACTGTGTGGCCATGTCCAATCTTGGGTTGTGCGCTTCTCTAAGCACAACGATAAGCGTCGCTGTCGCCCACTCAGTGAGCTGCAAGACGAGAAGATCGCAGATCGTTTTGACAATGCCCTCCTCGACGGCTCCGATCCCGATGCCTACCTATCCGACCGTGTCCGCCGCCGCGATGTCTTCATGTCGGTGGTCATGACAATGGTCTGGGAATACATCTTCACCCGTTATCTCTTCGGCATGGACCGGGAGCAACGTCAAAAACTCAAGTCTCTTGAGAAACAATTGGGCGAGGTTGGCCCAGCCCGTACTGTGCACCGCTGGCGAGCCACTACTCTCACACTGCTGTCCCGGCGACCGGCCTTTGCTGCGCAACGTGAGAGCGATACCGAGGCTGTTACTCTGGAGATCTTCCAAACCCTATCGCGGATCCTCCCTCCTCCGTCGCATGTTGAATCCCAGCTCCTGGATAACCTCCGTAAGATCATGCGGGTAGCAGTAAACCTGTCCTTGGAGATGCGCACCCAGCTGGCTGAATTCATCATGCTGCCGCCTCTGCAGCCGGAATATGATACCAATGGCGACCTCGCCCGCCAAGTATACTTCAACGCCGCCCTAATGAATGAGCGCAGTGGTCTGACAAATGACAACAGCGAGCTCGAAGCCCAACAGTCCATTGTGCGCATTGTGCTCTTCCCTCTTGTTGTCAAAAAGGGCAATGATGTGGGCGAGGGTGATGACGAGGTTGTCGTCTGCCCCGCCCAGGTCCTCGTTGCCCGCCCCAGCAAAGACAAGAAAGTATCAAGGATGATGAGCGGCGACCGCATGTCCATCGATCCTGCCAGGTCGGTCCACAGCATCGTTCAAAGTATCACTCACAGTGTGGCACCGTCATCTATGATGGACATGAGCAATGTGATCTGAGGCGTCACACTCTGATCATGATTGCTCCCATCTTTACATGCGTGCCTTGCTGCATCCTTGCTCTTATTGTCTAATATTTGTTTTCTTCTCTCGCCGGTTGATATGGCGTCTGGGTCATTTAGCGTAACGGTCATTCCGAGGCCGATGACTGTGAATATGTGGAGTTATTTGTTTCTTTATTTTTCCTGTTTCTATTTGATTTCCTCATGTGTTCTAAGACAATGCGTCAGCCCGATGTGTATTTACCATGGCTTTGACGTCTTATGAGTAATGACCTGTACTTCTGGTATGGCAATGTAATAATTCTATTTCCACTTTATTTTTTACTTTTCTCTACTTAACTGTCTCTTGCAATGTATTTCTTATACATCTTCCAAGGCTGGGAAATCACAACCTTTCTCCTTTCAAAAGCATCACTACCACTACTTTCGTGGAGCCTATGACGGTGTTTCGGTTTCCAGCCTTCTCTTGTGTTTACCTTCGATTTACCTTCCACTCATCTTCCACTCGCCTTGCACTCATCCTTCTATCCCACACCAGCTCCTTCACACAGCGCCTAAAATACCCGGGGCATCTCTCTGGTGGTGACACGACTTGTCAGTTTATGTATACGGAGCGTGTAGAATAGTTTGGGGTCTGCACAGCACCATCTCCTTCAAAAATCGCGTCAAAGGCGCTGGAGACATTGGGATGAGTTATCCAATTGGGATTCGAGGAGACAATAATGCCGGCATCCGGGGCTTTGTCGAGCTTAGCTATGATGGTGAAACGCATCGTGGCCCTCTGACCAATTACCATGTTGTGCGCCCGTCCCCCTGTATGGCCACGATGAAATCGATCGCGGAGGTATATCTCTTTTTTTCGCCGGTCGTTCTCCAAGGGGCATTCACGATAGAATCGCTAGCGAAGATGGACCACGACGCATATACTTCCTCTGCCAATGTCCTGGGATTGGCGAAGTGCGCTAATCACTTATTGCACGCTCTGTCTCGCTTACCGCGAATACAGCGCAGCTCAAGAGGCTAGACGAGTTCTTCTGTGCCCAACTCGGGCGTGTTGGAGACGTCTTTTGCCGGAGACTGATCCGAGAGCAACTCCCGATCTCGAGCAGAACCCTGACGGCCAAGAACATGAGTTGGATGACCTGGCCATGGTTATCTGCCCTCCATCCCCTCTTCCTCTCTCTCCCTCCTGGCCCCGGACCCGGTTGAACAGACGGAAGACGGACCTTACCCTAACCGTCGAAGACCAACTACAAGGCCTTGAGCAACAGAAGGCTCGGGTCATCATGCAGGAGATCGCCTTTTGGACCAACTTGTTCACTAAGAGCAAGTCGTTCTCAAGTGCACGTATACCACGAAGACGGGCCAAAAGGCCAAACTCACCTCGCGCGATCAAGTCACCCTCCTTCCATTGCTCTTGACTCAAAAGGAGAGTGCCTAGTAAAAATTAAAAACGCATATCGACAAAACGGAAAGGTTGCAGACGAACATGCAGACCCATCCCAATCTCAAGCAAGTGTCTCCTCGACAGTCTCGACAGCTACCGAATTGTCAACTGAGCGGACCCTCCATCGCCCTTGAAGTTGCATACTCAAAATCCGACTCAAAGTTAAGTTCTGACGTCCGATTTTGGTTGAACCCTGGTTTGCAGGGACTGCAGAATGACGCGAATGTCATGCTGGTGGGAGGTAAGGAGAGCATCAAGGCATCAAGGTTGTTATCATTGTGAAGTGGTCGAAGCCGGCCAGGGGACGTGTCTCTGGCACTGCAGAGCTATGCATGTGGGATCGCAACGGCATGCCTAATGCCAACATTTGCTTGACACTCCATATCAAAGGTCCCGGCCTGAAATTGGATTGAAAAGTGAGAGAGGCGAAACAACAGGGTCCAACGATCCCAGATCACTTGGATTACCAAACATGGAGAGCAGCACGAACGTCAGTGACCATCCTCTCATTGTCCCCTCTGAAAGCCTACAATGTCGTCCTCGCGCAGGGGAGATTTCCAGATCTCCCAACAACAACTGGAGTATGTCGCAGAGGCGATTTGGGAAGAGCAGGGGAGGTAGATTTTGTTTGTTTTCGTTTCTCGAGGGCATATGAAGGAAGTTGATAGATACAAATAGGTCACTTTTGTCTATTCAAGCATTGATTTTATCATAGGCTTGGTCTTGGTTTCATTCTATCAAGCTAACCTATGATTCGTGCAATAAAGGGAGGTATCACTACATAGCCATAAGATCATGGCCTTATTGACGATAGACGTGACTTTAAGGTCAAGGAAAACAAGGAGTTCATCACACAGATCAGAAAGCTTCCTAGGCACAGCTCTCTACCTCTTCAAGGCAATATTTTTGAACTCAGCAGTGGTGTCCCTGATGGCCACTTCAACAGGAAGTCGCTCCATTGAACTGGCTCCATAGAAGCCATGCAAGCCCTGCACCCTATCCAATACGAATTTGGCATCTTCTGGAGCAGCAATAGGCCCACCGTGACACAGCACAATGACATCCTTATTGATCCGCACCGCCGCATCCCGCATGGCCTGGATCTCCACAACACATTGATCCAACGTTTTCCCAGTCTTCGCCCCGATCAGCCCAGAAGTAGTCAGACCCATATGTGCCACCAGGATATCCGCCCCAGCCTTCGTCATAGCTTCGGCCTCCTCGACATTGAAAACATAAGGCGTCGTCAGAATATCCAACTCAGCGGCCTGCCGCACCATCTCCACCTCTTTACCATACCCCATCCCAGTCTCCTCCAAGTTAGCACGGAAGTTGCCATCGATCAGTCCCACCGTGGGAAAATTCTGCACCCCGGCAAATCCCAAGTCCCGCAGCTGCTTCAGGAACCGCGGGATATGCTTGAACGGATCCGTACCGCAGACACCTGCAATCACTGGGATATTTTGAACAATAGGGATGACTTCAGCGGCCATTTCGACTACTACCTCGTTGGCGTTGCTGTACGGCATCAGGCCCGCGAGACTTCCGCACCCCGCCATGCGGAAGCGACCGCTGTTGTATATGATGACTAGGTCTGCGCCGCCGGCCTCGACCGATTTTGCGGAGAGACCGATGCCTGAGGGTGGATTATTAGTTGAACTAATTGATCGAGAGGCGAGGGCCTCGAGAGACAGGTGACACCAAGTACTTACCGGCTCCGGCTCCAACGATGGGCTTCCCGGCTTCAATTTGATGGCGTAGGTGGGCGAGGATCTCGCTGCGACAGGTGGGTGGAGCCATAGTTGAGCAAATGGATATTTGTAGTTGTTTAATTGTTCCTGTAGGTCAAAAGGTGTGATAGTGTGATATTCTTCTCTCGTCCCAACTCGAATTAATTTTAATGATATATGAATCGTGCTTCTCGCAAAAGGCGGGGCAGACTTTTGGAGCGGATGAGGACTAAGCTATCTTTGAAGCCAACAAGTCAAAGGTTCGTTCATTCCATGTCATTGAGTTTATATCTCTCCCTGTAAGTGAACTATAGAAACACAAGATATCCCTGACGAGTTGCGCTGTCGGCCAAAACCTGAATTTCTATAGTTTTGCTGACCTCATCCATCCCGTTTTAGGAAAAGCCTCCCAAGGTTGTCCCATGGAAGTCTCAGAATCTCATGGACCTCCTGGACCTCGGGGGGTTTCTCTTTGTATTTGGATTCTCCTTTCTTTCTTGTACACTATAAACACTATAATATCCTAAAAGTACAACTTATTCCCATTTCTATTTGATATCTGACAAGATTTGCTTGTTTCTTCCAAGGTTGTTTTATTCCGGGAATGTTCCACTCTGCTTTTGCCACCCGCGTCATCCCCAACTTAAGCTGCAGCTCCCTTCAGCGCTGTCGACAATGCCGATGTCGGTTCCCCCATGATCATCGCCAGTAAGATCGTATGGAAAGCTGGGTATCCTGTATCCTGCATCCTGGGAGTCTTTGCCCTGTGAGCCTGTTTGTGTTGGGCTCCATTGGTTGATGAGCTGTTGAAAAGTTCTCATCCACTTCAGTACAGTTGCTCTGTACTGAAGACACCCAACCTTCATCGCGACCCAATCATTGAGGCTGTCACAATGGATCCGCCCATGATCCCAGTACCTGGAGCAGCGTCTTCCAGACCGCCACGTTCGTCGCATTCGTCTAGCCCAAGAAAACGTCCACAGCACAGCGATTACCCACCTGCTGATAACAACGCTAGCTATGGCCTAATGAGCGGCGGTCGGGCTCCAGGCACTGGTCCGGTACCCGTCCCGGAGACGTCGCCAGCCAACAAGACCCGCCCCAACCCCCCCCGCTGATAATGCTGCTGGCAAACCCTCCAAGTCCTCCAAACGCAAAAAGAACCGCAACCGCAAGCGTCGCAATCGACACCCGTCTTTTATTCCACCTAGTCGGGAGGAATCCCATGATAGCCCTGCGGAGATTTCGGATGCTGGAGGTGTTAGGGACTCAATGGAGGCCGATCGGCCAACCTCGAGGGACAAGTCGTTCTTCAAATTGGGGCGCAATCTAAGCAACACAAGCTTGGAGAGCGATGCCCTGTTAGATCATCGGTAAGATCTCGTGATATTGAGCGATCTCGGAGCTTCAGACCTGGTAGATACTAATATTTTTACCTTAGGGACCAACCCTCGATGAGACCTCGTCGTGACAGTCGCCTTGCATCGTCATTCCGCCCGAGCTCCCTAACATCCAATGTCTTCCGATCAAACGATGGGCAATCCCGCAGCACCCCGAAGGGGTCACGGAGCCAACAACATCGTGGTGATAGTGACGAAGAGGATACCAATGATCGGACACCATTGATGCGGCCAGTTTCAGGCCACATACCTGGCCATAATCGGTACGGAACAGACACTCGCCCGGGTTTGTTCTCATCGCGTGCTCGACAGCCCTCTGCTCAGACTATATCCTCGGGATGTTCGCCAAAGGATGATCGCAGCCCACTCTATTCTCCCACTGTAGAGCGAGACTACGATGTCAACAACCCTCCGTCAATTCCGGGGTCTCCAAAGTTGGGCCCAGAGATGAATTATGAAGATGCTGTGGTAACAGGAGCTGATTGGGACTTCTCAATGGCTCGGTCATTGGAGAATCGCAAGGACTCTTTGAATCCCCTCAACGACACTCTGATCGATATAGAGGGAAATGGATTGCACCCACATTCTGCACCATCCTCATCGCCTGGGTCACCGCTGCTTTCTCCACATCAAGAATTGCGGCGACGCCGGACCGTGGCAGTACCAGCAGAGGAAGACGTATGCTTCCCTACCGAGGCGATATCCGAATTGGGAGACGAGGGACCAAGGCAAATGCGAGATGAAGTCGGTGAACGTCGACGGCGTAGACATCGGCGTTGGCCCGATCTCTCGGTGCTGGAAGAATGGAGCCGCGAGGAGAAAGAGGAGCGCAATGGAGACATGCGAGTCAAAAGGATCAGTGAGCCTGTGCTCGTCGAAGGCCGATTGCGCCCTCAGTATACAGGTTGGCGACGCGAAGAAGATGAGGCGCCTTATCGGTTCACATATTTCAACGAAGAATTTCCGAGCACCATTCATGCCCAAACTATCTCCGAGCTGGTACAACCAGGTGGTAGCTTCCGCGATCTGTTTATTCCAGATCCACCCGAACTAGAGGATTCCTCGGAAGATGAGGACGACGAAGAGGAATCTTTCGTGGAGAACCCTGCTTTCAATAACTCAACCCAAGCGCCCAACAAGTCAACATATCACTCGGACAACCAAAGTCAAGGGCAAGGCCATCAAACGAACGTCAATCCTCATATGACGCCTCAGACCATTGCTCCCAATGGAAGGAGTACAAGTGACCTTATGACCGGCAATGCTCCTCCTGTCAGAGGGCCCTCGCGTTTATCTGTCATCAGCGAAGGACGCCCAGACTCCCACCGAGAGCTTTCGCCCGCACCTTCAAACACCCCATTTAACAACACCCCCAGCACGAAACCTAAACGGTACGGTCCACGGCCGACTTTCTGGCTAGATGTTCTCTCTCCGACAGATGCAGAGATGCGTACGATTGCCAAAGCTTTCGGGATTCACGCGCTGACGGCAGAGGACATTATGATGCAAGAAGCTCGAGAGAAAGTCGAGCTGTTTCGCAGCTACTATTTCGTCAACTACCGCACTTTTGAACAGGATGTCAACAGCGAGAACTATCTCGAGCCAGTGAACATGTATGTGGTAGTTTTCCGCGAAGGCGTGATATCCTTCCATTTCTCGCAAACACCCCACCCAGCCAATGTGCGGCGGCGTATCCGCCAACTGATGGATTACCTGATCCTCAGCTCAGACTGGATTTCATACGCACTGATTGATGACATTACCGACGTCTTCGGTCCGCTGATCCAAGCTATTGAAGATGAGGTCGATGAGATCGACGAGATGATCATGCAGATGCACTCTTCCAGCAAGGAGGTCTCGTCCAATGACAGTGTGCTTCCTTCATTCGCACCAGGAGAGATGCTGCGGCGAGTGGGAGAATGCCGCAAGAAGGTCATGGGACTGTATCGACTTCTCAGCAACAAGGCCGATGTAGTCAAGGGCTTTGCCAAGCGTTGCAATGAGCAGTGGGAGGTCGCACCGAAGTCAGAGATTGGTCTGTACCTGGGTGACATTCAGGATCACATTATGACGATGACGGGTAACCTAACGCACTATGAAACGTAAGTCTTGCCTTTTGACCTATGTTCAAGGCTGGTCTTGCACAACGTTGCAGAAATCGCTAACTGTTACCTCCAGAATCCTTTCCCGCGCACACTCCAATTACCTCGCGCAGATCAACATCCTCATGAATGAGCGTCAGGAACATACTGCCGACGTACTGGGTAAGCTGACTGTTCTTGG